TCTATTAGGCTCACAACCTTTTAGGTATAATACGACTATGCTTGTTAAATGTTCAATTTGCAGTCCGAGTCTAGAGCTCTTCTCGAGTTGTCACAGTTTTGTCTAGATCTTCTCGAGTTGTCATGAGAATTATGTCATCCAACAATTATAAGTAACTCAATTAGATGTTTTTCACTTCATTAAAAGGCATGGACAAATAACATCATTCATGTACTTTCACTTATAAATATTCACAAATGCCTAATCCATACAATAATCTTTGTGGAGTTAATTTTATTCAGAATCGGCTGTTTAAGGCTTTAAGCGACATACTTCAGGCATTTTAGCTAATGCAGAGTGTGTGTGTCTATATTTATATATATCGTCTGGTTAAGCAAACTTAATCAGGCCAATGAACTTCAACTACTGAATAGTCAAAAAAGAAATATCTTCAGTAGAGTCTCTTGTTTTTATTTCCTTATATGACATCATGTTTATCACGAGAGCGGGCACTTGCATTTTGGCTCAATGCATAATATTATAACAATGCAGAAGTTTGGTATACATTAAATTAAATGAAAAGGATGTCCTTTAATTAAGTTTGGTATATAAGACAAGGTATTTCCCATCGTTAAGCCAAAGCTTCATTTCTCCTGTCTTTCTTCTTTTGTTCCAATGGCTACCAATGAAGTGATTGTGGCCATGATTCCATTTCTTGAATATAGCCGTCTCAACCAGTTCTTCGTTCTTGCTCGTTTCATCGCCTATCATAATATACCAGTACACTTCCTCAGCCTTGCTGATCAAAACCAAGATTTGAAATCAAGGCCTACGACATTCATTTCAATGACCTTTTGGTACCTTCTTCTCCTTCAGAAACAGAAGATATCGAAAGTGCTGGAGCTGGTGTGCCTTCGATTGCTGTGTTGATACACAAACTCGAAGATCCCATTTGTAAAATATGCCTTGAACTCTCCACCAATGCAAAAAGATTGGTCATAATTCATGACAATGCAATGAAGCATTCTATGGGGGATGTGTCGAGTCTTATATTTTCCACTCCGATTCAGCTTTTACCAGATACTCTTTGCTCCGACTATGTCTTGATCACATTGTTGTTGATGATGATCATGACCAAATGGACCTCATAAGGCATTGTTCGTTAAAATGGCACATGAATGGACGCGAAACTCTGGAGAATTCATGAACTCCTATAGAAGAGTGGAAGGCAAGTACCTTGATTTATTACTTGCCAATAATGAAAAAGACAAGAAGCCGTTGTGGGCTATTGGTCCACTTCATATGCTGCTAGAATCACACGAATCTAGTGAGAGAAATCATCATGAATGCCTAGAATTTCTCGACAAGCAAGATGTTAATTCAGCAATATTCGTATCATTTGGAACAAACACTAAGTTCTCACAAGAGCAGATCAATGAGCTCGCGCTTGGTTTAGAATTAATAGAGCAAACATATATTTATTTGGGTACTAAGAGAGGCAGATAAAAAGATGGGCGTGGAGAAATTTGAAGAGAAAGATGGAAATAAGATTGAATTACCGGAAGGGTTTGAAGAGAGAGTGGAAGGAAGAGGAATGGTGGTGAGAAATTGGGTACCCCAATTGGAAATCTTGGGACATCCGTCTACGGGTGGACTTTTGAGCGATTGTGAGTGGAATTCTTGTTTGAAGAGCATCAGCAAGGGAGTTCCAATAGCAGCTTGGCCAAACAATGCAGACCAGCCCTATAATGCTGATTTTGTAACGAGTTGTGTGAGGAGTTGGGCTCGTAAAGAAGAATTGGTGACAGCAACTGCAGTCGAGAAAGCTGTCAAGACTTTGATGGGAACGCCAGAAGGGGAAGAGATGAGGCAAAGGGTGGTGGAGTTGCGCAATAAGATCAATAACTCTGTTAGCCTGCAAGCGAGGAAATGGAATCTTTCATTACCAGATAATTGCGTTGGATTGAAGAAAACAAGAAAAATGCCAAATCTTGGGTAGTCTATAAACCCAATGCAAGTACGTAGTAGATTATTTCTTCCCTGTAGATTTATGTGGAGGGCGATGCTTCCTCTATTGTAGACTTAGTGATGTTAGGTTCAATGTCTTGTCTGTCCTTTTGTGTCGTCCAATAAAACAATGTCTGTTGCTGGCTAAACAGACATACATGTCTAGTGCTGCTGTTCTATTATATATATCTGGAGATAACTGATTCCATAGTCGCCTGACGTTTGCTTGGCTCCATACCTGCAAGTCAAAAGCTCTAATAAGTTGTTTATGTTTTTGAACCCAAAACAAGCTACATCAGGATAGCTCTCTATACCCTAACCATAAAAAACTACTATTCCTATGACTCCATAAGGTAAAAGAATTCTAAACTAATTCGAATTAGTGAGGAAACGGTAGCATTTGTGATAGAAAGGAAAGAATCATATAGATTTTTCAGTAAACTTGACCTTGAAAAGTGCTTAATTTGCTGTTTTCTGGCATTCCACTTTGAGAAAACTGGTTTCAAATGACCTTCAATAGCGGAGTTATTTGGTTGAACTCAACATATCGAGGGATCTCTTAGTTTGACTTCCCAGATTTGCATATATAGTACATCTTTAAAAGCTAGTAGGAGTAGTAGTATATAACAACAGGAGTTTGGTAGTTGGTATACATTAAATGTAAAGGAACGATGGCAGCTGAACATATGAGACAAGTACGACATATTTTAAGCCCTATGCTCACAGTACGTTACATTTCTAATGAGTCTTTCTCCTTTTGTGCCAATGGCTACCAACTCAACAGGCAATGAAATGATTGTGGCCATGGTTCCACTTCCTGAATATAGCTGCTATCTCACTCAGCTCGCTCTATATTATAGCTCGCTTTTCGCCTCCCAGAATATACCAGTGCACTTCCTCTGCCTTGCTGATCGTAACAAATATTTGAGGTTGCGCGTTCAAAGTGATCTCAAAGCCTCCAACACTCATTTTAATGACCTTTTCTTACCTTATTCTCCGGCAGAAACAGAAGTTACTGGAGATCTGCCTTCAATTGCAGTGTTTGACACTTTATAAAGTGAACCAATCTAAATGGTATTATTCTTTGGATGTTGGTATTCTTGTATNATATAAAATTAATTCACTACCAGAAAATGCTAAATTTCCGACCACCCAAACGCTCACAAATCGATCGAAAAAGTGACCGATAAAGATCGGTCAAAAATGATAGTAATAAAATGGAACGAATATGTTTTTTCAATTTTTCGAGTCACTTGTAATAATATATAATTAAAACGATTAACTAGAATTCATATTTTTCGACAAGATCGATCGCAATATTAAAAAAAAAAAAAAAACTGAAATTCATAGTTCTGACCGTTTTGGTCGAAAAATTAAGAAAAAATCAAAATTCATAATTTCCGACCCGCATCGGTTAATATCTGGGAATTTTCAGGTCATATTTTCGACCATGAAATTCTAAGCAAATTTTAGCAGAATTCTGCTGTATTTTTAGCTACACCGCGTACAAAATAAAACAGTCAACCATTATAAAACCGTCAACAAGTCTAAACACTTCATAAATTATCATATTTAAGTCTAAAAGTCTTAACCAAATAACACGCTCGGGGTAGCGCTTAGGCTACAATATGCCTTTATTTGATTGGTAGGTTTCATGTTGCGATGTTCCTCCTATTTGTACCTCTTGATGAGCTATTTGTGCCGTATTTGAGGTTACGTTGAGGCTATTCTCCTGATTGAACCTGATAATTGCTACTTTCGTGATGAAATTACCGGATTGAGCTATAATAACACACTTTGCACATGCATACACCTTAGCATGTCATTTATACCGGTCAAGGAGTATGAAACTTGATATTGATTGTTCATGTAAATGTATTCATGTATACCTGCTTTATATGTGATGTGATCTGGACTAGTAGCCTGTGACAAGGGGTGTTCATGATTCGTTTTGGATCGATTTTTCCCTCAAGTAAGTCGGTTTTAAAATATTGGAACCAAAACAAACCAATTAAGTCGATTTTTTATCGATTCGGTTTTTGTTGGTTTATGTCGGTTTTTAGATTTTTTCGGTTATTTATCGGATTTTTCTTAAATATGAGATATACACTACCAAACATATATTCCGGCGACTACATTTTTAATGTAACACTATCAACCCAATTTCTCTTTGAGAAATCTATCATTTACCAAGATATATTGATGATAATTGAATCAAATAGTGATGAATAATTTAAGTACTCAATTAAAATCGATTATTTTTAACATAAAATAAATTCTTGTACTTAGCAAAAGAAAACTACCAATGAAATTAAAATGTAAAGACAAAGAAATAGATTATTATAATAGCAAACACTAAACTAAAAATACAAACGACTAATATGTACCATAAAATTTTAGAAACTTTACATGAAAATATAAATATATAGGTGTAATAACAAATTTAAATAACTACTTCTATAGCCGTTTTGGTTTGATTTTTTCCGTTATTTTTTTATTAAAACCAAATCAAATTTGATCGGTTTTTAAAATTCAAAACCAAAACCAAACCAAACCTAAAAGGTATCGGTTTTTTTGGTCGGTTTTGATTCGGTTTTCGGTTTGGTTCGGTTTTTCGGGTTTTTATGAACATCCCTACTTGTGACCACGCCGAGCGAATTATGATATTGAACATGTGACCATGCCAGACGGATTGTGATTATTGGCATGTGGGTTATGCGTGCTGTTGATATTATTGGTACGTGATTTGTTCGTGCGGCATGTGACTTTTTCGTGCGGATCTAGATATTAATATTATTGGCACGTGAGTTGTCTGTGCGGCGGTTGATATTATTAGCATGTGAGTTGTCTGTACATCACGTGATTTGTCCGTGCAGCGTGTGGATTTGGATCCATCCCCCTAGGGTCACCCTCCCATGTTTCTTCTTAATGGTGTACACCCGGTTATTAGGGAAATATTGATCAGTGGTGTGGTACAATTATGAAAATTTTGAGGAAAAGCTGGCCAGTGTTTGATTTGGTTATTGCATTTCATCTTTATTTGCAATTTTTCCCGTTAATTTACCTTATTAAATTGTATATCATATTTATATGCTAAACTGTTGACTTAGCAGAGTATGTTAAGAAATTATTCTAGAATTTAATCACATACATAGAGCCATCGCAGTGAAAATTAATCAAAGAACGTACCTTCAATCATAGTTGTTCAAGCGTTCTAGGGATCATCGCCTTCGTAAAACTTTGATAGAAAATCTAGGAGTCTTCTAGCCTGTGTCTATCGTAAGATGCCAGACTAATAGAGTCATAGGCATATTGATAGGTAGGCTAGGGACTCTTAGGCAAATACTTTAGCCCTAGAGACTTCTCCATTTATAATAATTGCCCTAGAGACTCCTAATAAAAATTGTTTCTTTCCATCAAAGAAACTACGATATATGCATAACTACAGAATATTATCTGATATATTATTTCATTTAGGAGACAAAGTAAATAATTTATTACCTTATATGTGGACTATACTAGAAGTCTCTAGAAGAGACGGTAAATTTCTAACATTCTTTCACTTTCCCCACATATTAAAATCAGATAATCCTTATGAGATAAACATATAATATGGCCATAGACTTTATCACTCAACTAAAGGTTATGAAACAATCACTTTAACTAGAATATATTATTACATGAATCATGGTGGTCATGCTTTTAAACAAACACTTCCTTCCATGTATTACAATGCACAATACATTTTAACAAAGTGTCTAACAACTTTATGAATGAACTTAATATAAGTCATTCAGAGTCTAACTTTGTTGATCCAATGATCACAAATAATACTTGAGAAATCAAAAGTGTGCACTGTCATGTATATCAAAATAAACATAATGTCTAGACAAGCTGTTAGAGAGCAAAGCAAAACTAAATTGAGCTACTAAGCCCCATATGAGTTACATGATCCTTAAAAATATTAGCCGGCGGACCTTTAGTCATAGGATCAGCAATCATCAAAGTAGTACTAACATGCTCAAAGTTCACATATTGCTTCTTCACATAGTCTCTAACCATCAAGTACTTTATGTCAATGTGCTTGCTTCGGCTGCCACTTTTATTGTTCTTAAAGAAGAATATTATAGCTGAATTGTCACATAAGATTCTCAATGGCCTTGAAATGGAATCGACAATCCTAAGGCCGAAAATAAAATTTTTCAACCATAACGCCTGTGATGTAGCTTCATTGCATGCTATAAATTCAGCTTCCATTGTAGATATTGCAATAATGGTCTGCTTGACACTTCTCCAAGACACATCACCTCCAACAAGAAGAAAAATGTATCCTGAAGTAGATTTACCAGTGTTTTTTCATCCACCCAAATCAAAGTCTGAATATCCAATCACCTACAATGAGTCAGAGTATTTGTGTGTGAGCTTAAAATCCTTGGTTCTTTGCAAATATCTCAAAATTACCCGTTTTTCAATGGTCAAGACCAAGGTTACTTTGATATCTGCCAAGTATTCCTACTCCAAAAGCAATATCAGGTCTAGTACAGACATGTGCATACATAAGGCTCCCCACAAGCTAAGCATAGGGAATGTCTTTCATTTGTCTCACTTATCTTAAGGTATATACACAGATCAATGATGTTCTCTGTAAATCCAAATGAAGAAACAATATTATGAAATTTAATATACCATTGGCGGGAAGCCTGTTTTAGCCTATAAATGGATTTAACTAGCAAACAAGGTGACTATTGTCCTTATTACAAAATCTTCAGGCTGACGCATGTATACCTCCTCTTCAAAATCTCCATTCAGGAAAGTTGTTTTCACATCCATTTGATGTAACTCTAAATCAAAATGAGCTACTAATGTCATGCTTATTCTCAATGAATCCTTCTTTGATACTGAAGAGAAGGTTTCATGGTAATCAATGCCTTCCATTTGAGTAAAACCCTTGGCTACAAGTCTGACTTTATATCGTTCGATATTACCAGATGA